AAGACGTACAGGTTGGGATGCAATAACAACAAGCAAGTCAAACGCAAAGGGAAGCACTAGAGGGGGGTCATCGGAGAGAGGAGTTAGGCCCAGGCTCAGGGTGGAGATGAGGGCAAGAGCACAGAATACCTAGTGAAAAGGTCACTCCCACCAATCTGACTGCCAGACTCCTGAAGAAAGGGGTCACACAGCCAGCACATAAGACAGTGGTGCCAGCCCCATGCTGCCCGATAGCTGCAGGCTCCCAGCCGGTCTGAGCCTTAGTTCCTCATTTGTAATATGAGAGGGTGATGGTACCTGCATCACAGGATGGCACTGAAGACTAGATGAGGAACAGCGCCAAGAAGCTCAGCCCTGGGCCTAGCACCTATCTCTCAGGCCAACACCCACCTCAGAATCCGGCATCAGACAGAGAGAAGGCAAACCCCAATAAATCACCCAGAGAGTCGGCAAGAGCCAGACATGAGAACCCAGCCAAGTACAGAGGAAGAGAGGGACTGGGAGGGATTTGAGGTGCCCAGAAGAATGGGGATGCTGAAACCGGTTTGGCTCAGTGGTAGTGTCGGTCTGCGGACTGAAAGGTCCCAGGTTCGATTCCGGTCAGGGGCATGTACGTTGGTTGCTGGCACATCCCCGGTAGGAGGTATGCAAGAGGCAGCTGGTCGAGGTTTCTCTCTCATCGACGTTTCTAGCTCTCTCTCTCTCTCCCTTCCTCTCTGTAAAAAATCAATAAAATATATTAAAAAAAAAAAAAAAAAAAGAATGGGGATGCTGCATACAGGCAGCTCTTTCATTTAGAACACACATCTAGTTAGTGCTTTTTAAAAAAATATATATTTTATTGATTTTGTACAGAGAGGAAGGGAGAGAGAGAGATAGAGTTAGAAACACCGATGAGAGAGAGATATCGATCAGCTGCCTCTTGCACACCCCCTACTGGGGATGTGCCCGCAACCAAGGTACATGCTCTAGACTGGAATGGAACCCAGGACCCTTCAGTCCCCAAGCCGACGCTCTATCCATTGAGCCAAACCGGTTTTGGCTAGTTAGTGCCTCTTATGTGCAGGTCCCATGCTACTGTTGAGGACAAAGGTGTCCGGGCCAGAGGCACGACCTGACTCAGGGAATGGTATGGAGAAGTGTTTGAAGACATCATGTACTCTGAAATTTGAACTGAGGACTGAAACCCACTTGCAGCCAGGTGAAAAGAGACATTTGGAATTGTCCAGTGAAAAGCCATGGAGTGGGGGACAGGGCAAGTGCAGGCCCAGCTGCTGGGTGCTGACATGGGCCACAGCCCACACTCTGGCACCTAGGGGTGTAGGCACACAGCATCCTCTCCCCACAGGCAGAGTACTAACACAGAAATAACCAGTAGGGCCCTAGCCAGTTTGGCTCAGTGAATAGAGCATCAGCTTGCAGACTGAAGGGTCTCCGGTTTGCTTCAAGGGCACATGCCCGGGTGGTGGGCTCAATCCACAGTGGGGCATGCAGGAGGCAGCCAATCAATGTTTCTCTCATCCTTGATGTTTCTATTTCTCTCCCCCTCTCACTCTCCCTTCCTCTCTGAAATCAATAAAAATATATTTTTTTTAAAAGAAAACCTTTAAAAGCTTATTAAGACCCATATGAAAGAGAGAGAGAGAGAGAGAGAGAGAGAGAAAAGAAGGACGAACCAACAATCAAACCAGAAGACTCAAGTATTAGTGGCAGACCTCAACTCTTGCTCGACTTTATCCATACCTGTCACAACTGCCTCACTCCTGTTCATCAGACCTCCTTCTTCCCTCTCTGCGTGCCCTGGGCTCAAAGGACACGAGCGTCCTATATACTCAGCAGGTCCCACCAACACTGACCCCCCTCAACAGAGAGAGATGGAGTTATTCCTATTTCAAGTCTTTCAAGATGCAGACATGTCAACTATATCGCACCTTCCTATTGACCCTCAACATAAAGATCTGTGAGAACGAAGGCATAGAGGACACAACTGTCTTGACCAGGACCTTCATCACCTTAGATAAAACGGGGGGCTATGCACCAGGGTGCACCCAGCACACTGCCTTGGGGGCCCACAGCCTTGCGGCAGAGTCAGATCAGGCAGTGCATTCAGGAACAGAAGCTGCTCACAGAATACTCTACTTTCTTCCTGCCAACTTCCACAACCCAGACTTCTTGTGGCTTTTGCTCTGGCGCGTATTTCCCCAGCAGATGGCCTGGTAGAACCTCTATGCAAAGTGTTCTGCTCTGTCCAAGGAGAGCACAGACTCTCCCCTAAACTGTTGCTATGTATTAAGAAAAACGTAAACCTCCCGAGAAGGAGGTTTCTAATTCTATGGAAACCTGTCGGCACAGTGAACATCAGCAACACCAGAATCTAAGAGCCACTGTGGGCTCCTGCAGGGGTTGGCATGTTGGCACATAGGGCTCATCACTAATTCCTTCAGGTGCCAGCGCTAGAAAAGACTGTCTTGATGACTCAGATGTTTATGAAGCTGCTGAGAGCGACGTGCACTCACATACATGTCTGAGAACAAGCTAGACAAGACTTCAATGTGGGTAAATCATCTGGGTGGCCCAAGGAAGGGGGTTTAGTCACACACCTGTCACATGCCATGTTGTCACCTGCTCCTAGACAGAAGAACCATAAATGTTTAGGCTAAAAACAAGAAGCCTAGAAATATGCGGAGGGCTTTTAACAACAAAGGGGGAAAAGAAATACATATATATCCTTTGTAAGATGGCCAGAAATAAAATTAAAAAAAAAAAAAAAACAACACCCACAACTCCTGATTATTACACCTTTTTCAAAAGAAAAATTCCCATGATGCTGAATCCTGAGATCCAGCAGCTCCAGAGCTTCCAAAACTCCCAACAGTCTCCCTTAGGAAGCCTTCAGGGGAGCAGAAAGAAGTATGCTCAGGTCACCAACTTCACTCTGATAAAGAACAGGCCTTGGGGTCGGTGAGCCAATGCACTGACCACAAAGACCCACTGTGCACGTCTTCACCTCGAGGGCCCCTAGATACGGGGGACAGGTGCTCTGCCTTCTCCGTTAATGCTCTGGGGGACCCACAGTAACCGATGGGTGTGCCCTGGCCCTAACGGCACACAGAACCTTTCTAAAAGTGGGCTTTCTTCTCCTTTTCTGGCAGACGGCCCTACACTGGACCAAACATCTCCGCCACCTCAGGCAGGTCTCCACACTGTACTCAGCCAGCATGTCATAGGAAATGTGGCAATGCCCTGCAATTGGCAGAGGGGACAGAAGGCAGTTCCCATCTCTCCAGCAAGTGGCTCTGTGTTCTCCGAATGCTCACTGCACCGGCTGGAGTACCCGATGGTGGAGCTAAGTTGACCCTCAGAAGTGCAAACATATGTCCCAGGAAAACACTGCTGCCCCTAAGGAAGCCCAGACCCTCTCACACTCTTCTCATATACCAGCACCAGCCCTGGAAGCAGCACCACCAACGGAAAAGCACCTCAGCAGTAGCTGCCAAGGGTCCATTAAGGTGGCAGTGGCCGGCGAAGGGACCTGCTAAAGCCCCAACGAAGGCCCTCCCTCTCCCATTCCTGTTGGGACTCACCCTTTTGCTCCCTCACCTAAAAACAAACCCAGAGTTCCTCCTTTCTTGCCCTTCCAGATGTCTCCTCTAGGGCTGAAAGCATGTGCTCCGGGAGGTGGCACAGCATGAATCTGGCACAGCTGCCCACCGCTGAAGCTGCTACAGCAGCAAGGGCACTCAGCCAGCCCAGGTAATCCAATCTTGACAAGTCCTAAATCGAAAGGGTGGGAAAAGCTGGGTCCACACACTCAGCTGCCCACAGGCAAGCAATTTAGCAAAGAGCAAATGCTCAGAGCAGTCAGACAGGACTGACAAGAACCCGAGAAATAAAGCAACAAAGAGTGTGGAGAGCAAGGACCTGAAGTAAAATTAGTTAGACAAGACAGAACTTCCTGAAGCACAAAAGGTCCTTGAAGAGACTGGATGATGACATACTATAAACAAGAGTCCCTGGTTCGCCCTGTGTGGCCTGGGACAAGGCCCCCATTGCAGAGGTGGAACTGGCTACTGGGCTTCTTGGCCAAAATAACTGCGTTAAATATGTACATTAAGGGGAGCTCAGACAAGTGCCGGTGATGTGGATTTTAGTTATACAACCAGAAATTTTAAAAGAAAATGGAATCATGCGTTTTCTTCTGCAACCAGATGTTGATTCCCTGAGCACTTGAGTAAACACTGAAAAGCCTGCCTTTGAGTCCTAAATGTTCCTCCCAACCCCGCCCCATCTGTGCACACGCCACAGGGCTGTGAGAAAACCCTGGCCATACCTGGCACACTCTGCCATAGAATCCCGGCCCTCATGAGACCTCCAGCACTGGATGCTCGCCCCCTTACATCCTTCCTCCAGCTCCTGCACATTCCCCCCCTACACACACACACACACACACACACTTCCTAGGTCAGCTGTCACCCAGCAGCCACAAAGCTACTCGGTCATGAAAGCCCTTCTCCAAAGGCTCACAGCAAAATCTCAGCCTCCCATTAAGCCCTGAGCCTCTGAAAAGGCCTCGAGCTGGTACTTAGAGGTGCCAAGCTGTAAGCTCAGGGTCCAGCTGCTTTCTTCCAGCCTCGGGCCTCCATTAGAGTCGAAAATGGTGAGAAAGAAAACAGATTGCAAATCGCCACAGGCCTGCTCCTTGCCAGACAGTGTTAGGCTTTCACCACAGTGAAGAGATGAAGAAAGGCCAGGCGCTGCTGCCTGGCTCTTAATTGCAGTCCAACCGGGTAGGGCAAATGGCTGGCTGGCGCAGTTCTCATTACAGACCCTCCGTGACAGGAGGTGGCAGATCAAGTCCGCCTCCCAGGCCAGCTGCGGTGCTCACGCCGCCGCCGAGCAGCCCTGGGCCCAGCGGGGCGAGCCCGGCCGAGTACCCTGAGCCCTTCCCGGAGGGGACAGGAGCGGCTCCCCAGGGCAGGCCGGCGGCGGGGCCTCCTTACCGTTGCTGTAGGCGTACGGGGACTCGGCCGCGCCGTCCTGTAGGCTTTCCAGGATCTCGCCCTTCCCCACATCGCTGTCGCCCACCAGCAGGAACTTGAGGAGGTAGTCGTAGCTTTTGACCGGACTGCCCTGCGTCCCCATCCTCGCTCACGCGCGCGCAGGCCGCGCCCGCATGCCCACGGCGCCGGCCGCGGGAGCACGGCGGGGAGGAGGCCTTCGACAGATCTGCGGGGACCGGGCGTGGGTGAGTGGGGGAAAGCGAGGCACGGTCTGCGAGGGCCCGTCCACCCCGCTGCCTCACCGACCGCCCAGGACGCGGAGCCCAAGCGCACCCACCGCCCGCACCTGCTCCGCGGTCCGCCTCACCTCAGCGCTGCCGCCGCCCCGCCGCTTCCCGCACCGCGCCGAACAGCCCCGCCCCGCCCCCAGACCACGCGCCGCCATTGGCCACTTGCCTACTGCCTGCCCTCATTCATTGGTGTGCACGCACGTCTTTCACGTATGCCCGCCCCCACCGTTTCCCACACAGTGTAGCAAAGCCTCCGGTCACTCCTCCCCATCACCGTCCCATCCCACCTCTCTGCGATCTCCATTGGTCGCCCACAGACCCTTTCCTGATATCATTGGTCTCTGTACACGTCTGTCATAGATGCGATTTTCCCCACCCCTCCCCCATCGTTCCACACACAGAGTTGCGGAGATTTCAGCCGCCTCGCCTCCTCGCTGTCGCCATTGGGCACTCGCCTCCCTCTTTCCCAGAACCACTGGTCCATCTGCACGTCAGTCAGCATTACTACGGAGCTGGAACGTCACGGAACCACCCGCAATCCCGCCCACTGCCCCACCACATCTGTCCCGCCCCTCCACGTCTTCATTGGCCACCTCCGCCTATCCTCCCAGAGCCACTGGACCAACAGCATGTCGATCACGTTCCTCTAAGCCCACCCCCTGCTTCCCGCCCTCTTCACTACACACTCACCAATGAGGAGCTTGGAACAGCAGGTTGTTTGCATACGCCCCTTCTTCCAATGGACCGGTGCTGGATGGTGGCGGTTCCCGGGCTGAAATGACGCGGGTGGGTCCGGGAGGACTAAACTCCCTAGTAAGCTGCGGCCGGTGCTTCCGCAGAGAACCCACAGAGATCCCACAGAGGCCCCCTGGAGTTGCGCTTGCGGAAGCCGCCCTCCCACGGCGGGGGCGTGGCCTGGTTGGGCAAAAGCGTCCAATCAGCATGGGGACTCTATAGAGAGGTGGGACTTCCGCCGCCAAAGTGGGTGGGCCGGAGGCGGGGGCGGTGGCCAGGCCCGGGAGGTGGGCGCGGCCCTTGCGAGTGGGTCCAGAGAGCTGACGGCTGGTTCTGTCCGCGCGTCCGTCCTTCTCAAGGTCGTAGGTCACAGCGCGTGGCTGTGAAGGTCTAAGGTTCCAGAATTCTGGGGCTTCGCGGGACTGGTGACTCTTCAGCCGTCAGAGGCGATAGCAGCACAGGCTCCAGCAGCGGACTGACAAGACTCTGCCTCCATGTGCCCGAGCCTAGATGCCCAGCTGATTAGGGTCAGCCCAGGTGAGGGGCTTCAGGAGGGCCCAGACCACGGAGGCTTCCAGGAGGAAATGACTTTGGGGTTGTTTACAGGATGGATGGGTAATTTTCCTAATGGGCAAGGAAGTATGAGAAGCCTGTGAAGATGTTAATTTTCACTCTTCGGAATGAAAATTAAGGTAAAATAATACCCTTTTCACCCACCAGATTGGCAACATCGTGTTTTGGGTCAGGATATAGATGTGAGAATAAACAAGTAGTCTTGGTGAACAGCCCTCAGGGAGGGAGGTTGAACTGACTAATAATTCTGTATCTGATTTAGCATGGAGAAAAACCTCGGAAAGGAGCTCAAAGAATTTCACTGCAGTATTGAAATGATGATGCAAGTCAGGAAATTGACAGGGAACTGTTAGATTAACCAGGTGAGCAACATAAGGTGCAGAAGAGAAGAAAGCAAATGACTACAGTATGCCCAGTGTAATTTCAATATTTGTGCTTAATAAAACCTAACATCGTTTTCACTCTAGATAAATGGAATGCTTGTGTAAGATTATGTCTGGAAGGATACTCAACAAAGGGACAGCATTGTTTTCTCTGGGGTAACTTTCTCTTCATTTATGACACTTTTAAAATCCTCACCAGATGATATATTTGTGTGTGTGTGTATGTGTGTGTGTGTGTGTGTTTGGTTAATCCTCACCTGAGGATATTTTTCCATTGGTTTTTAGAAAGAGGAAGGGAGAGGGAAAGACAGAGAGAAACATCCATGTGACAGATACATTGATTGGTTGCCTCCCACTACGTGCTCCCACCAGGGTCAGGGATTGAGCCTGCAACCGAGGTACATACCCTTAACCTGGACCCTTCAGTCTTCAGGTCAACACTCTATCCACTGAGCCAAATCAGCTAGGGATGGATAATGTTTTATTTATTTTTAGAGAGAGAGGAAAGGAGAGAGAAACATCAATCTGACAGAGAAATATCATTTGGTCTCCATATGTGCCCTAATTGGGAACCAACCCACAACCTTTTGAGCCACACCACAGGCTCCCAGCCTACAAATGATGACCACTTTATGAGACCATATTCACATATGACATGTACTTTATAAGTAACTCAAAAAGTTAAGCATAAAATTACAATATAGCAATTCCACTTCTAGAGAAATGAAAACATGTCCACAGAAATTTGTATATGAATGTTCACAGCGGCATTATTCATAATCATCAAAAGGTGGAAAAAACAAAACATCCATTAACAGATCAACGGATAAGCAACATGTGATATTATCCACACAATGTTGATATTCGTTTATAAAAAGGAATAAAGCACTGCTAAATGCTACATCCCATTTATATGAAACTTTCAGAATAGGCAAATTCATAGACAAAGTAGATTAGTGGTTGCCAGAGCCTGAGGTCGGGAGACACGGGGAACGATTGCTTAAGGGGTATGGATTCCTTTCTGGGGCGATAAAAATGTCCTAAAATTGGTGGTGGTTGGCCCAGCAGAGTGGCTCGGTGGTAGAGCATCGGCCTATGAAACAGGTCAGGATCTGATTCCCAGTCCCGGCACATGCCCATGCCCACGCCCACGCCCAGGTTTCCGGCTAGATCCCCAGGAAGGGGTGTGCAGGAGGCAACTGATTGAGGATTCTCTCTCTTCCTTCTTCTCTGAAACCAATAAAACATTAAAAATAATAAAATTGGTGATAGTTGTACTACTTTATAAAGTTACTACAAATAATTCAATTGTGTACTCAAAAAGGGTGAACTTTATATGTAAAATATCCCTTAATACATGTTTAAAAAAATAATAAAAGTTGTCCAAACGGAGCCAAATCAGGCAGAGTGGTGTCAGCTAGGGAGAAGCCACAGGAGAGTTAGAGCTTCCTAAGAAGTAGAACTGTGCAGAGGGAGCAACACAGCAACCAGGCCCCGATGTGCTGCACCGAGGGCAGCCTGGCTAGCATGTCCTCCAGCAGGCGAGAAATGGGCAGTAAGAACTTTCCTCCCAAGGGGTCACTGCACCCACGCCATGCCTTCAATAGCAGGTGGACTTCACAGAGAGCAAACCCTTTCACGGGCAGCACCACACTGAGTGACCCCCACCCAAAGCTGCACAGCCTTTCCTGGACTGTGAGTCATGGGGCTAGTGCCTGGGGAGGCTTCCTGAGGAGCAGGTCCCTCTGTTTGGTGGGCAGCCCCTGACGAGTGCCTGGGCCTTCCTCACTTGCCTTCAGTGAGAGGCTCTCGGCGTCCTCCTGGCTCTCTGGGGAAGCAGGACGCTGGGACACTTGACGGTAGAGGCTAGCCAGGGATGGGCAGGGCCACTAGGAACCCTGATGGTCCTGCTTGTGCGCTTCTTCAGGCCATGTCCCCTCCCCCAGAAATGGCTGTCCCTGGATTACAGCAGACACAGCCTCCCATGTTTATGAAAAAGGGGAGGGGGAGGGAGGAGGAGGAGAGGAAGGGGGAAGAAACCCACATTCCTCTGGCTATAGTCCAAGCCCTCCCCCCTGAGAAATATCTAGGGTTTAACCAATGAGGCAAATAGATCTTGGTCCTGAAGCTCTGTACCCAGGCTTTCTGGGAGCACCCACAAAGCTTTGGTTGCTCTAGAAACCCTGGCCCAGGTTTGATGCCAAGGAGAGACCCCACTCAAGTCCCATCGATGTATCTCTTTGAGTACATCGAGCAAGAACCAGGCCTGACACCAGAGCTGTCACTCAGGAAATGGGCAGGTAGCCTAGTACCTGCCACAGAGGGTGACAGCTGCCAGGCTGACCTGTGATGTGGCTACCATCTTGCAGTAGTCTGGGCCACATGGCAGGTCCCTCACCTGATGGGAGCCTGACAGGAGGAATAAAGGGACAAAAGTAGGCAAAGGATGAGCAGGTTGGCCAGGGAGAGTGGGGAAAGAATCCAGCAACTTCCAGAAATGCAGTTGTGGGGCCATTCTTAGCAGGCACTGGGGGTGCACTCCCTGCCCACCAGGACTCATGGGGGACCTCTGGGTGGAGGTGCAGGACTGGGAGTTGCTGAGTGACTTTTCTGGGCTGGTTCCTTCGCTATACGGCCAAGACAACAGATGCAGAAGAGGCCACTCGAGGACTCCTGGAGGCTGCAAGACAGGGAGTGCCTGTGCAGGGTCCTCAAGTTTCAGGTGATGACAAATTCATCAGAGCCAAAAGCAGCTCATCCCTCGATCAGGATGGCCTGCACCCTACTGTGGGAGACCCCCATGCAAGGGCAAGGCTAAAACCAAAAAGCAAGTGGTCCTGGGTCCACCCACCCACACTAAGGCATCTTTAAGGGCCAGAGCCTATACACCCCCTCACCAGACCTGCAGAGTCCTGCTCCAAGAGACAGGGTGCCCCAATGCCCCATCTTGGCATCACCAAAAAAGGTGTGGTAGTCATCTCAGGACAAGTAATGGGAACCAGCTGCCTACCACCCCAGGAGAAGAAAGCCCCCAGACCCATTGCACACAGGACATGAGAAGGCAGAGCATCATACTCAAACACAAGAATCTTTAATGTCACATCAGAGAAAGACTGAACCAGGATCTAACCCAGCAGATGCTGGGCTGGTGAGGACTTCCATATGGGCCTCCACTGTGATCTGCACCCAAGGAGTGTGGGCGGCAGAAGTGGACAGTTCTGAGTGCCCACAATGAATAGGAAGTACTTCTCTCCCCCCTCCCCACTGACTACAGCAAACATGTGATGCCATCGTATCTTCAGGTTTCCTCACCCTGGGGATTCTGTGGCTCACACCCACACAGATTCTGCAGCCAGCCAGCAGGCAGATGCAGCCTGAGTGCCAGGACCCCTCCCCAGGGACTACAGAGCATCTGCCCAGGAGTTGCCTGCTTCTGCAAGAAGCCAGTGAGGGGATATGGAAGATTTGGCCAAAGGGGCTATTCATACAGGGCAGGTATGTGGCCGGAACTGGGCAGCTGGGTAGGTGGGCACTCAGCTTCTAGCAAAGCAGCTTTGAGCACCCCACATGGCCTGGCTTCACACAGGGATTCTCATCGGCATGTGGTTGGCTCCTCCTGCAAAGCAGTCTCCCCTGGAAGCATCACAAGTAACACTGTGCAATTTAAGGCATGGGGAGTACTCCATCCAGCTTCCTGGAGGGTCCTGCCTCAGTGAGGCTGCTGGTTTGGGCCAGGGTTCAGTGATGGCTTGGATCCCCCATACTGGCCACTGCTCCACTGAGGCAGCTGAGAGGTGTCAGGGACCCAGGAGTGCATCTGCAGAAAAACCCCAAAGGAAGGAGATGTTTTGGGGTCCAAGTCTCAGGAAATGTTGAGTGCAACCTGGGAGGAGTCCCTCCACCCATGCCAGAGTTGGACCACCGTGAAGCAGCCAGACCTGTCAGCTCGCCCCACTGAGAAAGGATATGGTGGGCAGAGGTGGAGCTCTGTAAATCCCTCCTGGACAGGGTGTGGGTCTGAGCAGAGTCAGGAGGGTAGGGCTCCTTGGTAGACTTAGGGAGGGGGGATTGGGCTAACAGTGCCATTGCAACAGATTGGAAGTGGGTCCTGAGGCAAACAGAGGTCATATGGAGCACAGGCCAGCTGACCAGGCTGGCCACCCCTATGACCTCAAATTCAGTCTCACAGTTGGGAGGATATGTGACAGGCAAGGCCCGGTAGGGCCGGCAGAGGTCCCAGATGAACAGGGGCAGGGAAGGTAGAGTGTAGGGCCACATGCTACCTGACAGTAAACACCATCCTGGCGGGGTTGAGGACTGACCATATCGTGCAGTGGTGCTGGGCAGGCTGGTGGCTGGGGTACCTCAGTCCTGCTTGTCCCCTCTCTGCCTCCAGGGGTAGATGAGCTCCCCGAAGAACAGCTTGCGACACAAGGAACCCCAGGAGTGTTTGGGGTGGCAGCCACAGCTGGGGAGTCGGTAGGTGTGTACCACACGATTGTAGGGCAGGGGGTTGATCTGGAAGCACAAGGGTAGCAGTCATCCCCAAACTCCCTGGGGCTTGAGCTCTCTAGGCCTCAAAAGCCCTCAGAGGGGGTTGAGGGGTATCCCTGGGGCCAGCTCTGTGCAGTTGTGCTCTTGCCTGTGGTCCATGCGGTAGGATGAGCAGCTCGGGAGGGAATGACCTGTTCTGATCAGGCCGCAGGGAGGAGAGTGGGCTGGGCTGGCAGAGTGCAGACCCCTCCACTCCAGGACCTATGGAACTCCTAGGAGCCTTCTCAGGGACACATCCCACACGAGAAAACCACACAGGGCACCAGTTGCCTCTGCATCTGACCTCTTCCAGTGATCCTTAGGCCAACCCCACTTGCCTGGACCCAATACTGGTACCCAGTGAATCATCTGGGGGGAGGGGGGGAGGGTCACCTGGCAAGTAGCCCGTTCCCTCCTGAAGGCCCAAGGCCCCAGGACTGTTTCAGATAAAAGAGCTCAACAGAGAACAGATGTGTGTCCCAATGCCTTCACTAAATTGGTGCTGTTCCGCCTGAAACAAGAGCTCTTGCAGCCCAGGGCAGGATTCAAGGGCCCATAGCCAAGTAGGCAGGAGCCCTAGACAGCCAAATGCACCTGATAGTGCAGGAGATCTTGTCCACGGGCCCTACTGGGGAAGGTTCCAGGCAGAGCTGGTCACGGTGTAGAGAGGCCTTGGGGATGGGAAAGTCTCCCTTTGGGCTGTACCCCTTAGCTCTGCTGGGGCCTCCTGCCTGTACCCTACCCTGGCCCATGATGCTCTAAACCCAGAGCAGCAAAGAGGGACCTACTCCCAGCTGCCCAGGAACATGAGCAGCAGCATGGGATAAGGAGAGGGATCTGTCCACAGACAGCAATGTTAGGGGTACGCAGAGACCTTACCTGCATCAGGAGGCGGAGGGGCCTGCCAGTCTCATGCTCCAGGACTTGAAACTTCACGCCAGCTAGAAGGAGAGCAAGGTGTTCCTGAGGAGGGGAGTGGACTTCCAGGGCTCCGAGGGCCCGGAAGACAACCCCATCAGTCCTCCTCCTCTGTCAGCAGAGGAAGGCGTGGCCAGAGGAGCTCTGGCGGTGAAGGCCCCTTAATCTCTGGGCAGCACTCAGAGGGCTGCCTGAGCTCTCCTGCGCTGCCTGTCCTTCCCACATGCCTCTTTGAATGGGTTTCTGGGCCAATATCAAGGCTTCCTGCACAAATCCACTGAGAGGAAAAAACTGAGTGTCTGGCTAGCAGTGGAGCACAGCCTGTGCTGTTTTCCAAATGAGACGTGGGTTTTCCCACAGAGCCAACGGGCACTTGCTGGGTGGCGGCCGTCCCACTGGCATCTAAATGTCTTCCAAATTCTATGTGTGTGGCCAACTGGGACCTACCATGCCTCTGGCCTGCAGTTTGGACACCCAAGCCTGGGGAGTCCCAGGCCGAAGGTTTTTTGAAACGAGAAATAGGAGCTAATTATTATTTGATGAAGAGGCCCAAGGCAAATTCAGGGAAGAAGAGAAGAAACAGCGGCATCTGGGGCCTTTAATGTGAAGTTAAAACAACTCTCCTCTGGCAGTGAGCCAGGGGAGGGGGGAGGAGGGTGCCAGGTCTTGGTCTCTCTGCTTGTGTTGCACTGGCATTCTGAGGTGTAGGCCGGGGCTGAGTGAACCTGGGCAGCACAGTAGATGGCCCCTGGCCTGGCCCTCTGTAGGGAAAGGGCCTTGTAAAGAGGGTTTAAGGGCAGACAGACTTTAGGTTCAAAACCCGTGGAACACTCCTATTCACATCGTCTGGCTCTGAGCTGGCTGGGGGCAGCCACAATGAGCTCTTGGGTGTCCCAAGCTATAAACTGGGGTCAGGGCCTCCTGGGTATGGTCAACTCGGGGGTCACTTGAACAACTGCTGGACAGGGGCTGTGCTAGAACTCTCCAAGTGCCCTGTGTTCAAAGCCCCTACACCAACCCATAACCCTGTGACCAACTTGGGGGTACAGCCTCCCCTTCAGGGCATGTGGCCAACCCAGTGGTTAGTATCAGCATAAAAATGGGCGGGCACGTGCACAAGGATGGCCGGGGGCAGCTGGGATGAGAGGCGTCTCAGCAGATAATGGTCTGCTGGGTTTCAGGTAGGAGTGCATCTTGTCGCACAGATCTGGCCAGCCCAGCATCCTCCATACTGGCATGCTGACTCCAAAACTGAGAGTTACCAGCAGGCACACACAGCCCCACACAATCACACAAGTACACACCTTCTCTGAGCCACATGCAGGTACTACCTACACCACTGGGGACAGACCTCAGGGCAGATATTCACACTTGTCACAGAAAAGGGTAAAAAAAGGAAGTATCATCCCTGTGGCCTCTGAAACCTGAGCACCAGCTGGGCCCTCTACCTCCAGTTCAGTGTAGGCAACTGGTCCAGCCCACAGCCTGGGACCAGGGGTCTCTGTCTTCCCTTCCCACCCCCCTATCCACCCACCCCATGCACACCTCTGCTTCCAGGAAGGAGGCACACATGGTGCAGTTAGTGTTTCTGCAAGGCCCACAGGTGTGTGTCTGCCCACCCAGCACAGACCTACCTGAGAGTCTGTAGGGCCGGCAGAGCCGCAGGCCGAGCGCATACAGCGGCAGGGAGTTGATAAGGTCCACGAGCAGATGAATCAGACCCTGCACAGTGACCACCAGGAGCCGGAGCTGCAGCACAGACAGTGCTCAGGGCCTCTGAGCCAGGACCATGGCCAGAGAAGGGTGACCAGGGACTCAAGAGCCTTGGGAGAGCATGTATCCCACTCTGAGGAGGGCTCTAATCCCGTTTCAAACCCGAGACACAAGCTCAGGAGGCAGGAGAGCAGAAGGCAGGAGAGGCTGGCCCTCCCACAATGTCAGAAGAGTCGATGCTCTGATTCAGGGAAATAAATCACTGGTCCCTCAGCCCAGGTCACCTCGGTGCTGCCCCCCATCCTTTATCTGAGTCCCCACCCCATGTCAGACACGGGGAGACCTCCACCATGACCCGCCCACCGTGGGTCCTGTCCTCCTTATACCCGGCTAAGTGTCGCAGAGCGGTGGGCGATGGCCCCCAGGGTGGAACCCCTATGCACTCCAGGCCCAGCACACACTGCCCAGAGAGTTTAGAACAGTCATACTCCATATGGCCTATAGCCTGCCCATAACTGCCAGGCTGGCAGGCACATCTGGCAGCAACCACTCTAAGCACTGCGGGCAAGACCCCTCGGCCAGGTGTCATGCCCAGAGTCCCCCATAGCTCACCAGGGTGAACACCAGGTAGTACAGGGCTGTGGTGGGCAGCAGGAAGACCAGGATGGTGAAGAGCAAAGTCCCAATGAACAGCTGCCAGAAGAAGAGGGTCCATCAGCTGGAGCTCACTGGGGACAGCCCCCATAGCACAACACACCCCTGCTCTCCTCCCCACCAAGCCCACCCTGTAACTGGCAGAAAGGGGATGCCTGCTGGTAGGACACTGGCTTCCTGAGACAACTCATGAAAGCTTGCTGATGACAGCTCTCTCCAGTTCTGGGGATGAATGAATGTGTGCCCTCCAGACTCAGTGACCCATGGGAGATGGAGGCAGAGAGAGGACCAGCCAGTAAGGTGCACAGCCACATACACCAAAGACAAAGGGTTGTGAAAATCATGCAGAAAAAGACATGCCCTGGAGGCAGCACTCAGGTTCCATGTGTTAGGTCTGAGCAAGCTAATGGGATAAACCAGAACCAGGAACCCACTGCCTGGGACACCTCCAGGGTCCCATGCTTAGGGTCATGTCCAGGGCCCACTGCCAAGCCACTTCGAGAGCCTGTTGACCACTGATTCCCTAGGGCCAGCAGCTTCTTGAAGCAGGGTCCATCTCCAAGGTGGGATAAGGTTCTGCACTGAGGGCCCCACATGACCAAACATCTTGCACACTGCCCAGGTCCCCGGGGTTGATGCCAACCCTGTGGTTAAGTCAGCTGCGGAACAGGAGCAGGCTGCCTCCTCAGGGTGCCCAAGCAGCTGCACTGGCCAGGCTCATTTACAGGGGTTGGTGGACTGGAGCTGGGAGGTCACACTGGCCAGTTGAGGCCAGGGTGCACCCTCCCCAGCATCCTGCCCAATACCTGGTCCAGGTCATAGGAGCAGGAGTCCACCCGCTGGCGCAGAACATTCCACTTCTTCCCTCGGAACAGGCGCCAGAGTGAGGAAAGGCCACAGATCTTCAGGCAGTACAGCCTGCAGGACATGGGTGCCATCAGGACTAGGCATGGGTACTGCACCACCCCTGTAGCCACCCAGCCCCAAGGTCTGTCTCTGGTGCCCAGGGTAAGGAGGGCTGCACTGGGCCAGCCTACAGGGGTGGGGTGCACACACCCACCTGGCACCATAGACATAGAAGCAGTAGATGTGGAAGGTGAGGAGGGCGATGATGTCCGACAGGATGGACAGGGAAACTGTCAGGCCCAGGCAGGCTGAGAGGCCCATGTGCCACAGGATTCGCTCGATGAATGGGGACATGAGGTGGATGTAGCCTGGCAGGAGGGGGGGTCAGCCCTGAGAGGGTGCTCAAGGTCCTGGTCCCCCATAAGTCCTCACTGAGGATGGTGCCTGAGTCTTCTGGAAACTGAGTGACAGACTATGCCACTGGCCATCCCTCAGTAGAGTAGCCAGTCTAGAACAGCAGGGCTCCGCAAACACTGGACACCAAGAAGGCAGGAAGTGGGGACCAAGGGGAAGGTGCCAGGCCTGGGCCCCACTGCCCTGCTCAACCAGGGCCTGTGTCCCTGAGGGCACAGGCTTTAGGAGCCAAGTCAGGGACCCTGGGAAGTCCCATGCCCCCACCCACCCCCAGCACTCACTGATCCACAGGTGGATATGGTACAGGAAGAAGCGGCCCAGCACCTGGTCCAGTGCCCGGTTCATCTTGAGCCCGGCGGGTGCGCCCATCAGCCACTGCAGCAGGTGCTGCAGCTCCTCGGCCACCCACTGTGAGGACACAGGGGCGTGCTGTCCAAACCGGGCCAGCCCATCTGTGCAGGGCAGAGGTAGCCCAGGCTCCCTTCTTTAGGCGTCTGGACAGCCATCTTCTATCATGATGGACACATGGGACTTCCCACACTTGCCTGGCCATGGAACCCCTCTTCACAGATATTCTGGGATTCGGGGTTGAGAGGTACAACCTATGATGCCAATAGTCTGTCCCTGGCCTACTGGACAGGTAGCCCCTAATGGGAATCAACTTCAGAATAAAGCATCCTTGCCCCATCTCACCACTCTGGCCACTGAACCCACAGAAACCCTTAGCCCAGGCTCTAGGATATGGGACAGACCCAGGCTCACTGTGAACCTTGTAGGGATAGCCTGTGGGCCCACCCAATCTTCCTCCACCAAGGGCCCACCCACCACCAGCCACAGCAGAGGCCTGGGCCTGCCCTGAGTGGATGACCTCAGGTGAGGGAAAAGGTGTCCAGCCTGTCAGGGGCTCAGGTAGCAGGTAGGAGGATGGGAGGGTCCCCTAAAGGGAAGGATAGATGGGGACTTAGAGTCAAGATCAATGTTGAGTGAGAGCTAGAGGCAACACAGGGACCCTCACCAGCAAGCAATGAAGCTGACCAGTAAGTGTCCTGGCTGTCCCAGGAGGAAAGCCAATGTCCGTGTGCCATGCCGGTGCCAGTGGGCAGGCCGAGGACTCAGCCAATGCTGTGGCCACCGTAGTGACATCCCTACCTCACAGTCAGAAGTATGCCAACACCACCATCCCTACATCAACCCCACCTGCCTTGCAGGCCTCTCCCAACCCCGTATGAAGGCCTCAGCTGTATTAGGAGCAGTGAGAAGGGGAACAGAACATTCTTTATAAATAGAGCTTATTTAATATTTAAAGGATAAGAGCTTGGCAGCAGGAAGAGGCTTTCATTTTTTAATTAAATATTTATATTTCTGAGCAGTTTCACAGAAAGGAGGTCTAGGGTGAAGTTGGCCACAGGCAGAGCACAGAGGAGCAGGCAAAGTAGCCAAGCCTCCTTCCCAGCCCCCGCCCCTCCTTTCCCCTTCCTCTAAGCTGGGCCACTCTGAGAAACCACGGACACTCAGCCTGTGAGGGCTCCTGACCACAGCATCCGGTCTGGCCACAATTAGGCCCAGAAAGCAACCATGGCTGGACGCTGCTAATGGCCAAAGGAGGCTGAGGCCACAAGGGCCATTCACTCAGGCCTCAGTCACAGAAGGTCCTGAAGAGGCTGGTGGGTAGCTTAAGAGACCAGAGAGATTGCCCAAACCAGGAAGACTAGCTCCCAACAGAAGTGACAGGGTCTTTGGCGCTGAGGAAAGCAGGCAGAGAAGCTGAATGCAGCAGGGGGACCCTAGAAGGATGACGGGGCAGGGAGGAGGGAAGTAGCACCCAGGCCCTGGAAACATTGCCCAGATGTGAAGGCAAGTCCAGGAGCATAGCAGATGAGCTGGTACCTCTGGCTCTCAGCATGGGAACTAGAGAACCAATGCTGGGAGCGAGGTGACCACTGATGGATGGGAGGCCAGAGCTCAACCGCACACAGACAGCCCTGAACACACAGGTTTTCGTGACGCTGACCGTGCAGAGGTCCCAACCCAAAAGGCAGCCAGGAGAGCAGAAAGTCATGCACAGGTAGCAGCAACAGGAACACTATGACACTGAGCCAGGCCTGGGGAGATGGGGTCCCCCTAAAAGCCTTTACCACAAGGAGGCCCCCCAGACATGGCCACCTTCAGGAAGAAAAGCTAGAAGCCAGGAGCTGCCATTTGACTGAGTGGGAAGGTAGGTACCTGGTAGATCCAAGTCTCCATGGCTCCTAGGGAACTAGGTCTGGGATCAGTGAGGATTGCTCTTGTGGCCACAAAACGTGGATGGGAGGAGCTGCTCTAGCTGGTTGAGGGGCCTCTGCTGCCCCCAGGAAGGGCCCCTCTCCCACCCCAGGAAACGGGGACTGGAGTCCAGACCTGGCTCCACCCCATCAAACTCACATCAGCCACGGGAACAAGGGCATCAGCCAGCTGCCCAATGCGGTCTTTCCCATGGAGCCAGGACAACAGCGTGAGGCCTAGGGCCACGTCAAGGAGCACGGAGACAAGCATGTTGGCCTTCCTGGAAGGAGGGGTCCAACAGGAGTGGACGGTGAGGGCAGCCTGGTCAGGAAGGGTGAGCGAGGACAGGTCTGGTGCAGAGAAGGGGGTGGGGCAAGGGCTTGGCCTATGGCACATCTGGCCACTGCCGAGTAGACACAGGGAAGGCCCCGAACCTCATCAGCTGCGAGGCATTCTCAGCCTTCTGGGTGCTGAAGATGAAGGTGAGCTGCTCCAGCCGGTGCCTGAGCTGCTCGCACGTGGAGAGCTTGCTGCAGATGAAGGACAGTGGCCACAGCTTGAACACCCTGTGAAGGAGCAGAGATGGATGGGCTTTCAGCTCCTCCTGGGGCTCTCCTGCCTGCCAGGGAGCAAGGGCTGCCTCAGTGTTACCAATCCCCCTCACTGTGCAGACAGGAAGCCAGGCTCAGTCGGAGTCCCTGGTGGCACCAAACATCGATAGCCCCACTTGCGAACTCAGCAGGGCAGGAATACAGGTGGGAGGGCCCAGATAAGCAGCCCAGTGGAGCTCATGGCACATTCACAACCATTAACTGGGTGTCCAAGGACCTCACAAAGAGCTGATTCCAGGCCAAATGCACCCCGGTATTGGAAAGAAAGCACTCATTGTCACTCAGCGCCTTGCTGTGCTGGATGGGTGATCCTCGTCAACGGTCTCTGGGCTGACGTGGACTCCCAATGAGACTGGGTTCTCTCCAGGCAAAGGAAGCACAGGTGCTTCCACAGACATTCAAACATTGAAGGGACATGCTTGCAAGCAAAGATGAAGAAAGCGCTGGATTGCAACTCAGCCATGACCAGAGCCTCTTCCACTTCCTGCCGGCAGGAAAAGAGAAAGGGCTGGTGCAAAACACATCGAGCCCCCAACCAGCCGACTTGGACTCTTCAGAAGGAAGAGGTCCACTCTGAAAAGTTTAACCGATGAGCTATGAACCAAATCCAAGAAATGAAAAAAATAATAAATTAAGAAATAAATGGCCCTGGCTGGTTTGGCTCAGTAGGATAGGGAGTTGGCCTGCGGACTGGAGGGCCCTGTCAAGGGCACATGCTTGGGTTGTGGGCTCAATCCCCAGTAGGCATACAGGAGGCAGCCTATCGATGTTTCTCTCTTAACATTGATGTATCTATCTCTCTCTCTCTTCTTCTCTGAAATCAATAAAAATAGATTTTAAAAATTTAAATAAAAGAAGTGAAACGAATTCAGCATATTTCCTGCCCCCTCCCCACCAACTCCAATCAAATGGAAGCTGGCCTCGCACTGTCTGCACAGCAGTCTCCCCAAGGTTCAGCCTAGCCCTGGACAGCCTAGCCCCAACAGAATCCCTGGGCTTGTCCTGGGGAAAACACGGGGCTCACTACTGCACGGTGACGGTCATGGCTCATTCATAACCACACCAGTCCCTGACCAATCTCTGACTGATGGTTAATCCAAACTTGGGTTGGCCTTCCTGAAAGGAGGGGTCCAACAGGAGTGGACGGTAAGGGCGGCCTGGTCAGGAAGGGTCAGCGAGATGGGTTAATACTACTTATTAACCTTTCTTGGGTCCTTTGAAAGCTGATAAAAGCTAAGAACCTTCTCTCCCCAAAATTGTAGCTAGGCCCAGACATACTTTCACATACTTCATTCCAAGGGGATCATGAAGCTCTGAAACCCATCCATTCCCTGCAGCCTCCACAATCTAAGGCGTGTCCACCCACAGCTGCCAAGGTCTCTCTGCCAGAATAGGCCCTTGTCCTGATGAGCAGGCAAGGTCAGTCCCCAAACCAGACAACTTAAACCCCCAGACCCATGGGAAGAGGGTGATTCCCTCACCAGAGAGATGGCTTATCACAGAGAGCGGGGCCCCTGCAGCCCAGCCAGAACGCCCTGGTGCTGCCCCAGCCTTTCCCAGGGTCCTTAGGGCTTTTATAAACCCATGACCAGGCCTGCAGCCAGGAGTGTTCCAGGTGATTCCAGAGTGGCTAAGGCTGGAGACCACCACACCACACCCATGACTGTCAGTGAGTGGACACCCTCCCCCCCCCCAGCTGGTGTTTGCCCTGCTGGTGCCAGGGACAGGGAAGTGGGTGGGCCTATATGTGTTTAGGAGGACAAACAACTCCCAGGCAGGGCAAACAGCAGCCCTCAGCCAGCAACAAGCCTGTCTGTCCACTGTCTCACCTCCCTCTCAAGGGCTGGAGCCGAGGCTCACCCAGTATCCCTGCCCTGTGGGTCATTCACAATCGCCAAGGTTGCCAGGAAGCCTGGCTCTTCCTCAGGAGTGCGGGTCACCAGAACAGCAGCCACCACCCAGGACACCCTCTGAGATAGATACCAGGAGAGGAAGTAGGGGGAGGCTGAAGTGGGGAGGACAGCTATGGGCCTTCACACCGAGGGGTTGGGCCTAGGACTTAGGAATCTGACTCCTTCCTACCCTGGCCCCAGGGTACCTACCGGCAGGCGCTGGCAGCTGAGATGAGTGACAGCAGGTAGGCAAACAGCAGGCAGACGGGGCCCGAGGCCTGCTTGGCCAGCTCCACAATAATGCTGGCCTCCACACCCTCCGACTGCCAGTGGCTCAGCCGCACGAGGCCCTCATCAAACCGGTCACTTCGGAAGAGTGCCTCGCTTCGTGCCACTGTGTCGAAGACAGCAGCCAGGCCCTGAGTGCTGGCCGTGGCATCCCCCGCCTGGTGGTCAGGCAGGGCTGTGGGCGGGTGCAGCTGGGACAGCAGCACCTTGCGCTGATCATAGAAGATGAGCATGACTTGGTCTTCGCCAGGGGCATTGGGGGAGGTAGGCACCTGCCGGTGGGTGGTCTTGCAGCTCCAGAGCTTGCTGCCCCTCTCCCGGCACAGCTGGAGCCAGGGCTCGTGGGAGAAGATGGCGCCCAGGCCCTCCAAGAAATGGCCCAGGCTCTCCTCAGGCTCCTGCCGACGGTGGCACCAGGTGCCCAGCACAGCCACGCCCACTCGGCTGGCCTGCTGCACCTGGGCCAAGAGCTCCTTGACCTGGATGGGGATGAAGGGGAAGTGCACCACGGCCAGGACCACAGCGCTGTTCTGCTCGGGGACCCACCGTCCAACCAGTAGGCCGCTGTCCGCTGAGGTGCAGCATGTGGGAAAGAAAGCCTTCAGCACCATGCTGGGGACACTGGAAGAGAGGGGAGAGGCTGAGCTCAGAGCTGCCGCTGCCACCAACACTACGCCTCCACAGCCCCGAGTGGCTGGCATCCCTGTGGCTACAGGCCATGGCCAATGTGTGGCACAAAGCGCACTGGTTGGAGTAACCAGTTTTGGGTTTGGCCATGGAGGCTGGTTTGGGGTCCCCGGTTGCCCATCTCCCATGGGCGCTGCCCTCACTTTGCCCTGGGCTGTTGTGAGACAGGCCCCAAATCACCCCTCATCGCCACCCCAAGGCAGGTCAATGTTTTCCCCATTTCTGAGACAACAGGCAGGCTAGTACGTGACCCGCTCAGTACCACTCACAGAGGTTTTGAAGATAAACAAAAGGTTTTAACTTGTTTTTAAAGACTGATTAGTTTTTTATGTGTAGCACGCGGGGAAAATGTAGTCTCATTTACAATTAAAGTAATGCAAATAAAAACTCTAAACAACCTTGATTTACTAACTAAGCTAGCAAGAATAAAGTTGAAAATTTAAACAAACTGCTGCTGGGCTGACGGGAACCAGACACGTGCACACTGCTGGTGCTGTGGGCGCTGGTGCAGACACCCCAGAAGATGCACATTAGAAGTGTGCCTGGTAACCTGGTCACCCTCCTGCCCAGTGAGCCTCCTGGGGGAGTCCCGTTGCTCAGAGCACAGGCCCAGCTCTCACAGGGCTCCTGCCTGTACCCTGGCCTCAAGCCTACAGCCATACCCCTCCCGCCCTGGGAGCCCTCTCCACCCGCCACTTCCGGGAAGGGCTCCCGACAGGGGAGTGTCTCCTTTGTCACAGCTGAGCACCTTCTTTGGGACATATTCTTCCAACCAGGTAGCTATCACCAGTGGGGGTGGGAGAAGTTCACTAGCCCTGGGAAATGGAGAGCACCGCCGTCTTCTCTCAGGAGGAGGGACACCTGCTTTCCTGGCCTCTCACTACCCTCATGGCCTCTGAGCAACAAGAGCAGCACCAAGTGGCCGAAATTCCTGAATGTTGTGGGACCCTGAGCCTTAACTTGCCCAGAAGTAAGCTCACTGGGGATGAGGGTTTCTCAGCAATCCCCTCATTCTTCCACCTGAGCCCCTCCCAGATGGGGCCTGACCCAGCAGGACCTCACCAAGGATGGACTGAGGGCATTCATAGTGAGGTCTGCCCTTTCTCAGACACTGGTGGCCCCCACCTCATTGGCATAAAGGGCAGAGAGCCACCCTGAGCTAAGACCCCCAAGTTGGGACCCAGACTGAAGGGAGGAAACATAGGCCTTAGAATGAGCCTGGGCCTCCAGGCTCACCAGGCCCTTGGGGATCAGGGGAAAGAGATGCACACATGTTGGGGCAGTGTGACACTGGGGGAGGCACAGGGAGCCTTTTCTTGAGGACCAGGGGCACTGGGAGGCCTCACACACACAAATGCCCAGGGTATAAGAGGCTACTGATGCAGCTGCTCTTCTTCCCTGCAGGCAGCCCAGCTTGGGACCGGAGGCCTCTCCCAGCCAGCTTGTGAAAAGGGCCTCTCACAGCTATGGGTTCCAGCTGAAAGGGCCCCATTGAGTCCAAAGGCCCCGCCCCCAGTGACCAGGGAGGGCAGGCAACAGCGTAGCTGCCTGGAGCCAGATCCCTGTGGTCATCATCATGGGCATCCAGAGCCAACTTGTCTTCCAGAGCCTTCTGCAGGGACTGCCCTCCTGAGAGGGACAGAGGGATTCTGCCTGTGAGGGACCCCGTGTGTCTGGCTTGACAGTCACCATGGGAACCAGGCAGCACAGTCCAAACCTCTCAGTGCCAGCCTGTCACAGCAGCTCAGCCAGAGGACACCATCACAGCCTTCGTGGGGACGACTTTCCCAAGAGCTAAGGAAACTGCTCATTTGGGAAGTATTCTTCCAACCAGGCAGCTGTTGACAAGTGGGGGCAGGGGAAGTTCCCTATAGGAGCAGCAACACAACTGGACCAACGGCGAACAGGTGCTCTGAGGGAAACTGACCACACGGCATGCTCACTTTGGGAAAATCTGTCGCCTTGTACACATTATGCTTTACCTACAAAGTTTACACACACACACAAAGAAAAGAAACAAAGGAAAAAGAAAAAAGAAGCAGCTCCTCATGTCTAAGGAAGAGCAGGGAGCAGAAGTTGATGTTCTTACCCGCGGGGCAGTGAGAAAGAACTCTTAACAGATTACGGAGCAAATCCCCATCCCTGCTCCCACCGCAGCCTCTGGGAGTGATGAGCACAAAGAAGTCTGCTCAGATCAGACAGCCAGAACGAGATGAAAGAGCAGGCGATCGATAGCAGAGGTGCAGATTCGGGGAAAGCAGGGCAGTAACTTGGGCAACATGCACACCTTTAAAGACAAAACACACACACACACACACACACACACACACACACACACACACACACAAAACCCCACAGAGCACAAAAACAAGGGCCCATACCTAGAAAAGCCTCCCCCATTAGAAATGGCACCGAGTTCCCTTATAATACAGCCCATCCCCAGATCAGGCGGGATCTCTGAGCGCGCATCCCACAGGAGCAGAGGCCAGTCCACCTGAGGAAGGAGAGCTGCACCTCGTCTTCCTTCATCCTTAGCAGAAACTGGCTCCGGGAAAAAGCCCAGGTATGGCTGGTCCCGGGCATCTCACTGGCTGCAACCTTCCTCTGTGAGGCCCCCCAGGCACTGCTCCTCAATAGCTCACAAGAATTAGTGTTTACTCCATGTTGTTTGTGTTTTAAAAAAGTGTTTTCCCCGTGTTTTGTGAACAGTGCCATTTCCCCCTCTCGTTTCGGAAGAATGGCCACGAATCTAGGATTCTGTTGTTTGCCCTTTACCGCAGTCAGGGACAACTATAAAGCGCTACAGTTCCTCTGACCCTGAGTGTCCTTCCGAGGAGTCCTCAGCAAGACCCAAGTCGGGTGGGTCAGCAGAGGGAACGACTGGCCAGGCACCCTTCAACCCACCGGGTGCTGGGACCAGACTCCTGGGACAAGAACACCCAAGTGGCCCGGTCCCAAATGCACCCGGTCTGTGGAAACGGCCTCCTGGAGGGGGACGGGGACCGGGAGCTCGTGGGGCCGCTCCCTGCCCTCCTAAGTCCCAGGCCGGTGGCGTCCCCATTTTACTGAGGATGAAACAGAGGCTCCGAGTGGCCAGAGAACGGCGCCGGCCGGGAGAAGTCTTCGGGAGCGCCTTTCGCTCCCTCGCCTGCGCCTGGTCCCCCCGCGACCCGGGAATTGGGGCACACAGCCCCGGGAGGGGGCTCCCCAAGGTCACACCGCACGGACGTCAGCCCTCCCCGGGAATGCTCACCGGCGGCCCCCGGGAGCCGTGCCCTCGGGCGGTGGGTTCGGGATGAGGTTGGGGGTTGCGTTGGGGGGGCCAGAGCGGACGACAGCAGCCGCAGTCCCCAGCCCCGCCGTAGGGAGCCTCGGGGCACGAGCCCCATTTCCGCCGGCTCCTCACGTTGCCGCGCGACGGTCCGGCCCTCAAAGGCGCTCGGGCTGCCCGCGGGCCTTGCCCGAGCGTTCCGCGCGTGCAACGTTCCTGTCCCCGGAGCCCAGAGCAGGCGCGCGTAGTTTCCTTATTTTTCTTTCCTCGCAGCGTCTTTGTTCCCACGCAGCCTCCTTGTTCCCCACTCCGCTACGTCCTTGTCCCTCCCTGCAGCATCCTTGTGCCCCCCCACAGTGCCTTTGTGCCCCCCCCCCCAGCGGTCTTGTGCCCCCTCCAATCCATCTGCAGCACCCCAACACCCCTGCCTTCCAATTCCTCCACCTTCCCACAGTGCTGAACCTCCTCGGGTTTCCTCATCTGAGGGACCCAGGCTTTTCCCAGGGTGAAAGGGCACTTATGCCCTATGTGTAATTCCAGAAAGAGCTGCCTCCCCAGCCCCACGCTGGCCCCTTGGAACACTGGTATCTCAGCCACCCCCACCCCCGCCCCAGAGACAAGTGGGCTAGGAAGTTGTTGGGCCGGGGAGAACCAGCCCAGAGGCGGCAGCCATCTGACCTGATCTCAGGAGTGTTCCTTGCTTCTTCTGCTCTGGGGTATAACACCCTAATACCAGTAGCAACAACTAGTGAGCACCTTCTGCACACGTTTTACATTGACCCATTTAATGCCACCACCCACCGGGGCTCAATGTATGGAGGAAACTTTTATCAGAGGTGAATGGCCTAAAAACTATAGACCCCCAATATCCTGGTGATAGACAGGAGCACCCCATCATCAGCCTTCAGGGGCAGGAGCAGGCACTGTCCCCTCTCCGTGAAGACCTCTTGTTGGCACTAGGAGCCTGTCTGGGGATCAGACTCAGTCACCCCCACTTTCACACCCTTTGGGGGGCCTCATTTCCCTGCTACTAGACTTGACCACTGCCTGGAACCTTCCCAGCACCACCACCCAGGAACTTGGAGCTGTTTGGTCCTGGTTTACAGAGGAGAAAAGGAATGATCAGCCAGCCTGTGAGAGAATTCTCCCATGGGAGAAGTGGCCAGGGCCACAAAAGCTCCCAATCCAGCCATGTGACACCCAGGGTAGCCCCTCCTCCGCCTCCCCTTACCTCAGCGGGGCCAAGAGAGGCTGCAGGAGGCTCGGAACCTGGGGCGTCTCTGAGGATGGGGACTATGAGGAGCCGCACCCCTGCCCAGGCCACCCAGCCCAGCCGCACCCTCCCTGCCTGCCTGTGACTGATTAGGAGACCGGGACTGGGGCATTTGGTGGGAGATCCTGCCAGGATAAGTGCTAGCAGCTTGTCCAACACGCCAAAGATCTCCAGGCTTCAGCTGCTGGTCCCAAAGCTCAGGCCTTCTGGGCCCCGAGCCAGAGGCCAGGGCCTGAGTGGACACGGGAGTGGGGAGCTCTGGGGCACAGTGAACTCTGGGGTACAATGACCCTTCTTCAGACAGCCCAAGCCCCTGCCCATTGGTACCACACAGTCCCTGGGGCATGGAGAGGACCCGGCTTTGGAGGCTGGGAGGCCGTTGATTTGTGGCTGCTGACAAAGTCTGAATTCTCTCCAAGAGAAAACAAGAGGCCAGCCCAGGGCGTGGCCCACTAGGTCCTCAGCAAATGTGCAGGGTCAGAAAGATATGGCTGTTGGACTCTACCTCTCAGGGTGGTCTGGAGGCCTGAGGGCTGGGCCCATGCACAGGAAGGGGGCTGCTGCCATCTGAGTCCACCTGAGTCTTACACGTAGCTGTCCCCTGCGTCCATCACCATGAGCTGGCTCTGGGGCCCAGAGACCACACCCAAGGGCATCCTGGCCCCTCAAACACCATGCAGATGGGTGTTCTAGCCCAAGGGAAAGCGTTAACCTGACACTGCTGCTTGTCTGCCACAATAACGTTACCCTCCGGATCAGTGGACACACCCAACAGAACAGCTAAGCATCCCCAAACTTCTCACTCACAACAAAGCCCCTGGAGACCCCAGGCTCACCCACCAAAGCCCCTCCAGACCCAGCCTGGAGGCTGGGACCAGCAGCTCCAAAGTGGGTCCCCCTGTGGAGCTCGGTGCAGCTCCAGAAAGTCAACAAAGGCATCCACAGCCAGCCTCGGAGGGGCCAGGAAGTGCCCACCATCACCAGTTCCTCGGGCACTTGGGAAGTGTGCTGGAGTGTGTGGACAGCCTGTGGACAAGTTCACTGACCACCATGAGCACAGCAGCTGTCACAGCCATATCCTCTGGCACCAAGAGATGTCCTCCCTGGCACCGGCAGGACAGGTGGCAGACAGAGTCCCCCAAGGTGGAGCACGTGGATGCAGGAGCAGCTCCAGCGGTCAGGAAGAGCAGGCCAGCAGGGAGCAGAGCAGACCCTGGGCCCCGCTTCAGCCCTACAGGCACCGGGATCTGCCTGAGAGTCAGGAGCGAGCCGAGTCTTCAGGACGGTCCAGAGTGAGTGAAGGGCCTGGGGGGCAGCTGGCCAGCTGGTGAGGAAGCCCAGAAGGAAAGAGCAGGAAGCCAGAGGTGGGTGTGCCAGCAAGTTACCATGGTTGGGCCGAGTGTGGGGCTACAAGAGAAAGTGTGCCACGCAGTGTGCCGAGCGGCAGTTGCCTCAGTTCCCCTGTGCCCTTCCAGGCAGTGCTGGTGTTCTGATTTTCCAGATGAAGCAACTGAGGAGTGAAGGTGGGGGTGGAGGTGATGGACCTGGATTCAAACTCAGTTCCACCAGGTCCTGAGCCTGGTTCAGCCCGAAAACCCAGCAGCCAGCTGTCTTAGGTCCTATTTTCCCAGCATGATGCGTGGAATACAGTTCTGGGAGACATGGACCATGAATGTTGCTGTGGGCTTTGCTCTGAGACCTGAATGAGCTTGTGGGCGTTCAGATGTCCCAAGATGGGGGTGAAGGTGACAGATGAGGAGTGCTTCTCAAACTCATTTGCCCATGGAACCGTTCCTTCCTGTAGGCAGGGAAAGTGACCCTTCTTGGGGACAGCCCAAGCCCCTGCCCATTGGTACCACACAGTCCCTGGAGACTCCCAACAGCCAAGGGATGAGGCCAGGGTCCTGTCCTCCGCCTCCCTACCTGCCCTTACCCAGGGAGGCCGGCAGGAAGGGGCTCCTGCCCAGGGCCAGACTTTGGACCTGCTCCAGCAGCAGCCTGAGGGAGTGGAAGGGACCATCTCGACGTGGGCAAGGAGGAGGGGGCAGAGAAGCCATGGGCCCTACGGAGTCCTGACACTCCGCTTCCGCTGCCAAACCCCAGGGACTCCCAGTGCTGCCACATTCCTGCCTCGGCGCCTTTGCCCCGGCCCCTGGGCCATTCTTCCCACTGCCCCTGCTTGGCTGGATGCCACCCGTGGTTAGCACACCCAGCCCCTCCCCAGGGAGGCCCCACAGCGTCCACACTCTCACCCTCTGCGGTGTCAGGGCTCACTCTTCAGAGGGCTCTGAGCAAGTATCTGCAGATGAAGCAGTCCCACCCCGACCCCCAGCAGGACCAGAGCCAGGTGGAGGGCTTCCAGGGGTCCATCTTGTCCCCCGCCCCTAAAAGGGACAGGTTGGGTCCTATCCCTCTGTTCCCGTTTCTGCGCCAGTGAAGCTGGGTGATCTCCCCCAACAGGTGATGAGAAATCAGGGAGCAGCAGACATGACACCTGCAGGTGGGAGGCCCAAGGCTCAGGACCTGGGGGTTCTCTGGACACTTCCTAACCCAGCCCACGTCCCCTGCAGCTCCTCTGGGAAGCCCCTGGAAATGGAGGGTCAGCCTCTGTCTGCAACGCACAGCTCTCCCCGCCTGGCTGGCCTGCACCCCCCTCTGGTCACCGGCGCTTCACGGCCCCCGGTGGGGAGGGCGGCCGATGCTATCTGCCGCCCGGTACGGTTAATGGGGCAGCCACAGGTCCTGCTCCGACTAGCCCCAGCCCGGCTGGTCCAGCTCGGGGGAGCCGGGCGCAGGCAGGAACTGCCTTCCCCGGGGCTATTCCTGAGAGGGCCAACTCCCAGGGAGAGAAGTGATTAGCTGGGTCCAAGGGTCCCCCAAGGAGCCCCTCCCTACCTGCCCCCACCCCAGCCTGTGGGAAAGGCGAGTCTGGCCTGGTCGTGCCGGGAGGGAGGCAGCGAGCTGTGAAGGCCACCCGATGCCTATCATGGCTGCAGGGGCTGGCAGGGGCCCAGGGGAGGCCATGCTGGGCAAACAGCCCTGGGCCACAGAATGTGGGGAGCACCTTTTCACTGCGGTGGGAGCAGCCTCCAGCATGGGGCTGCCCTGCGAGGCACACAGGGGCTGGGGCATGCCTGGAGGCCCTGCCCACCACCGATGTGCTGACACACCGCTCTGGCCTGCGCACCTGCTTCTCCTCGCTCTGCCCCTTCCGATGGAAAGCCCCCCGCTCTGTCCCCAGACTCTGCCCCTCCGGGGAGGGCCCCGTCTTAGGAAGCAGGTTAGGATCTGGAGGTGGACACCAGCAGGATGGCCCAGGACACTGCCCACCCAGACGCCCGTGGCTGGTACATCTGCACAGTGGGACGGTGTTCCGAGGGCGACAGTGGAGCAGCAAGGGAAAGAGGAGGCTCAGACAGGGTGTGTGAGGGTGGTTTCTATTTTAATGTCCACAGCTGTGGTCAAGAAGAAGCCGGGACTCTCTGCTGTCCCTGTGTGGCCCCAGGGACAGGCCGAGGCTGTGGTGGTGGTGGTGGGGGGATCTGTTTACGGGCATGCTGGGCAGGCCCCGGGTCTCAGCCCCGGGGCGGGGGGAGGCCGGCAGGGTGCCAGGTGGCAGGCATGGGGTTGGGGAAGGGGCTCTGTCTGTTCGGAACTGTGGTCAGACCTCGGCCCCTGGGGAGCTCTGCAGGCCAGAGGCAGCTTCCGGAGGCCAGGAGCCCCCCACCCTGCCCCGGGGGCCCCAGCTACTGCCGGGAATGACAGGGTCATCGGGGGCTGGGAGGGGGAGCCCCGGGGGAGGGACACTGGAGTCAGCCTCACACTTGGTGGTATGGCTAGAGAAAGGCTCGGCCACCGCGGGGCCCAGCATCCTGGCTGGCTCAGGGGTTCCCTGGGCCAATACAGAACCCGGCTCCGGCTGCCCCCAGGACCCCGAGGACGCCTCAGGCACCTTGGGCGGCGTCCGCTTCACCGAGAGGTCGAGCGGCATGTCTGGGGGCCGCGCGGCCTGCTCCAGCACCTGGTGGATGGTGAGCAGCTCCCTGCGGATCTTGCCCAGTTGCTCCCGCAGAGGCCGCGGGGCCAGGCCCCTGGCAGGTGCCAGCTGCCCCAGGCGCTGCTCCACCCTAGCATAGTCGCCGAGAGCCCGGCTCAGGTCCTCACACACGTGCCCGGGGCCCCCCAGCACCAGGCCCGGCGGCTGCTGGGGCAGCGGGATCTCCAGGGCGCCGGGCTCTTTGTCCTCCGGCCAGAGAATCACGGAGGGGCCATTCCGCAGGCTAGGGAGGAGGAGCCGGTCAGAAGGCTGTGCTGCCTCCCTCCCGCCGCCCTCCCCGCCCCCCCCCCCAATTCCCCCAGCCTCTGCCCCTCTCTCTCTCTCTCTCTCTCTCTCTCTCTCTCTCTCTCTCTCTCTCAAACCGCCTGTGCAGTCTGTCTCCCTGGCCTAGCGACCCGGGACCCCAGAAGGACAGACAGACTGGCTCTCCGGTCTCAGCATCCTCTCTGTGGCCTGGAGCGCATATTCCCGGACCCTAAGTCAGAACAGAGGCCCAGCCCCCTCCCCCCAATCTCAACCCACCCCCCAACATGCCTGGGGGACGCTGACACCTACCTGCTCTGGGAACCAAAGCTGGCCAAGCTGGAGGGAGCCTTCGGCGGCTCCAGCCTGCTTCCCGGGGGCAGCTTCCTCTTGGGGTCACTCTGGGCAGCCAGCTCCAGCCCTCCCTCCTGCCCTGGGCCCCTGGGGGCACCACAGGTCCAGGGCCCCCCCAGCCCAGGCACTGGCACTTTTAACAGCCCGGGGGCCAGAGTCCCCGGGGGTCCCTTGGGGGGAGCAGGAGCCTTGGCAGGGGCGGCAGCCCTGCCCGCCGGCAGCCCCAGGCTGTGCTCCAGGAGCAGAGGGTAGTAGAGGCGGGGGAGAGGGGTGGGGCGCTCTAGGGGCTGCAGGGCGGGGAAGGCCGAGGCTGTGGGGAGCAGGGGGCTGGCTGAGCCCAGGAAGGGCATGTGGGCCGCCGTGGCCAGGGAGGGCCCCAGGTAGGAAAAGAGGCTGGGGCCGAGAGGGTAGTTGACGCCCAGCAGGGACAGCTGCAAGCTCTGGGCCTCGGGGAGCTCGCTGGAGGCGGGCGGAGGGTAGCAGGGGGCGCTGCTCTCCGGACCCACTGCGGCTGCGCCTGCCACAGCCGTGCTCCTGGGGCCCCCGCCCAGCCCTGGCTTCCAGGACTCGGCCAGCAGCCCTCCAAGGCCCACAGCCTTGTGGGCATCCTTGGCTGCAGGGGGAGGTGTCCCTGGGGACTCCTCAGCCTCTGGCTTGGGGCTCCCGACACAGCGGTGCAGGGAGAGAAGGTCAGTGACGACGAGGTCGGGCGTGGCGGGAGCATCTGGGAGCTGAGCCGCTCGGGGCCGCCTGCCCGGGTCTGTGGGGTCAGGGGGGTCAGGGGGGCAGTCCGTGGCGGGCTCCAGCGGCCGGGGCGCGGCCGGGGCACGGCGGCATGCCCAGTCAGGGGAGTCCAGCAGCAGCGAGAGGGAGTCCTTGCAGAGGCTGTACTTCATGTGGTTGTAGAGGTGCGACTTCTCGAGGCAGGTGAACGGGCACTGGAAGCACTTGTAATTGTAGGGCTTGCCCCAGGGCCGCGGGATGTAGTGTGGCTTCTTGGGCTTCCGCGCCCGCGCCCGCGCCCCGGAGCCCAGGCGGCATGAGCCTGCCACCTCTCGGGACATGGCAGCCTGCTAGCGGGCCGGCCACGGCACCATGGCCACCTGCAGACAAGGGGCCTTGGTCAGTGCCTCCGTCAGCCCCCCGAGCGCCAGGGGTAGAAGCCGGGCATGGCATGGCCTCCTCCCTGAGCCTGGGCTTCCCTGCCTTCACACAGGTAGTTGGGACCTAGAACACCCTCCCCACCTCACCCTTCAGCCCCTCTGCACCCACACTTCTAGAGCCACCCGGCGTAGATGATAAAAATGCAGGATGTCCAGCCCTGGCCGGTGGGGCTCAGTGGCTAGAGCGTCGGCCCACACAGAAGGGTCTCGGGTTCGATTCCTGGTCAAGAGCACCTACCTGGGCTGCAGGTTCCATGTCTGCCCGGTTGGGGCGGGTGTGGGAGGCAGCCAATCTATGTGTGTCTCTTACATCGATGTTTCTTTTTTTTTTTTTTTTTTTTTTAAATATATTTTATTGATTTTGTACAGAGTGGAAGGGAGAGAGGTAGAGAGTTAGAAACATCGATGAGAGAGAGTCATCGATCAACTGCCTCTTGCACACCCCCTTCTGGGGATATGCCTGCAACCAAGGTACATGCCCTTGACCGGAATCGAACCCGGGACCCTTCAGCCCCCAAGCCGACGCTCTATCCATTGAGTCAAACCGGTCTCGGCTACATCGATGTTTCTATCTCTCTGTCTCTACCTCCTTCCCCCCTCCCTTCCACTCTCTCTAAACTATCTATGGGAAAATCCACTCTCTCTAAAATATCTATGGGAAAAATATCCTTGGGTGTGGATTAACAAAATAAAAAATAAATAAATAATAAATACAAAAAAAAATGCAGGATGCTCAGTTACAGCTGACTCAAATAAACGACAAATACGTCTTTTAATCTAGCCAATATTTGGAACATACTATAAAAAGTATTTGTTGTTCACCTGGAATTTAAGTTTAACTAGATATCTGGTATGTTATCTCTGCCTCAGGCCCAGCTAGCCCCCAGCAGGCCCAGGTCTGGGGTGACTCCATCCAGACCTGTTTCTGTTTGCCCAGCGGGCACTGGTGAGTGACTGGAAGGAGCTAAGTATGACCAGGCCTGGTCCTGCAGGGGTGGGGGGCGGGCATCAGCTCTTCCTTGTCCCACTCCCCTCCACAGATCCCCTGCCTGTGCCGGGAAGCTGAGAGAAAAGCACCGAGACGAGAAGCCGGCAGAAGGTTCTGAGCCTCTATGTGCACACGCATGAGTGTGTGCTCCTACCGGGCACTCGAGCTTTCCGAGGGGGTCAGCCTCACGTGGGGGAGGCCAGGCTGGGGGGCGTGGACGTCACAGCATGGCCCCACAGCACAGCCACCTGCTCAGCCGGGCTCCATCTGGGTGGCTGCGGGCAGGTCAGCAGCCGAGCCTGCATTGCCGAGCTCGGCCAAGACCTCTTCCTCTCCCCATGCCCTGCGTGTTCCTCCGAGCCGTTCTGCCCTCCATCTGGGCTGCCACCTGGGCTGCCCACACCCCGGCGTGTGCCTGGTGGGGCGCGAGGGGAGTGTGGCACACTGTGCATGAGGCTCTAGCCGAGCTCTCAGTGCCCAGAGGGACAGCCTCTGCACCGCTGGGCCAAGTGGGAAGAGAGCGGACCTCCGAAATTCTGGGCACAAGCACACACAAGACTCACACCCCACTCAGTGTGGACATGGTAACTGCATGTGAATGCACTCACAGCGCAGGCGGGGCGTGAGCAGATACTCAGACACCTTCAGGTGCAATGTGCCCACACACACATACATACATGCACTCTACACACATGGTCACAAACACACTCCTGCTGCTCCCAGGGCTCAGGGAGGGCCCGTGGGGTAAGCAGGGGCTGGGGCAGCCGGGCAGCCGCAGAGAGCAGGCTGCTCTCCCTGCCGGCCTTCGGGCTCTGCACATGGCAGGCAGGCATGTCTGCTGCTCCCCAACACCGGGTGAGCGCCCCCACTACGAGGACAGCCAGGGAGGCAGAGAAGGCTGCCCACAGGAAGAGGCTCTGAGAGGGGTTAGCACAGGCCAGGCCGGGATGTGGGAGGCAGGGTGCGCAGAAATGAGGGGAGCAGTTTGAGGTGTCTACATCCGGGAGGGGATGGGGCTCCAAAAGGGGTGAGGGGCTGGGAGGAGGGGGCTGGGACCAGGAAAGGGCTCCCAGGACGTAATGGTGGGTGCAGAGGCAGGCCCCAGCCCCCAGCCCCCCAAGATACAGATGACAAATGGGCATGTGTGCTGGGGAGACAGAGACGGCTGTGCTGGGGCCATCGATCACCCAGCCCTGGGAGCCACACAGCTGTGCTGCCTGGTGCCACCACCCACCTCACCTCCCAGCCCAGTCCCTGGACTCGGGGTGGGGGTATCCTCCTGGGCCCCAGGACTCAGGAGGAGCAAGTGGGGGGCTTGTCCGGGACCCATCGGCAGCTGCTGGCTGCACAGGGACCCAGAGGAGCCCTGACACCCACCTGGCATACTTGTGCACAGGCATGAGACACCCCCAGACACCAGCACGTACCCACATACATCCAAAAGCACGTTCATTGGCACACGTGTCCCAACCCGTGACTGGGTGCATGCTTCCAGAGGAGCCTGCGCCCACATTGTGCCAGCCCAGACACCCGGATCCCACTAACCTCTCCTTGTCTGGGGAGACCTGGGGGCAGGCGGGGAGCAGGAGGCCCCACCCCAGGAGGCGAGCAGGGACAGCAGCTCCTGGAGCAGCCACCAAGGGATTACAGCTCGCCCATCCCGCCGCCCCTTTGGGACTCGGGAGCGCCCCACAAGGTGTAGGGCAGAGGGGGTGAGCAGGCTCCTCCTTAAGACCCCAACTCCCTCCCCCTAGCCTCCCCAGCCTCACCCTGGAGGGCGCCCTCCTATAGGGATGGGGCTGCTTCACCCAGTTAATCCCGGTGCCCGGAGCCTGGACGCTGGGAAGTGGGGAAAGTAGTGTCTGGGATTCTCCCGGAGTCCTCCCACCCCAATCCTCCCGCCAACCCCCCACCCGGCCACCCCTTTGCCCTCGCGCCCAGCCCGGGCCCGCGCCGCCCCTGGACTTGGCCAGCTGCGCCGGAGCTGCGCCCACCCTGCCTGCGCCCCGGCCGGAGCCGAGCCCGCGGCGCCCCGGGAAGTCTGCGCGGCGCCCCCAGGATCAGGGAGAAACTTCTCGCTCTTTCCCCGCTCGGCACCCTTTCCTCCCCACCCCACCCCACACGGCACCGGCTCAGGCTCTCGGGGTAGCGACACGGACTCCCGCGGGGGAAACTGAGGCCCGAGGGTAGGAGCGTCCCCCACCCCCGCCCCCCGCGCGGTCTGCGGTCACTCACTCGGCAGCGAGTCCCCGAAGCCTTCGCCGCCGACCGACCGGGTCCCCCCGACGCCGGTCGCACCCACTGAAGTTGGCGGCAGCAGCGGCCGCGCGTGCGCCGCGCGCCGGGCTCCGGGGGGCGCTGCGACCTCCAACGCGGACCGGCGGGGGCGGGCGGGGGCGAGCGGCCGCAGGTGGCGGTCTCCCCTCGGCCGCCCCGGTGACCGCTCTCCCAGCCCCTCTGGCCCCCGCCCCCGCGCACGGCCGCCCCCGCGCGCACTCACCAGCCGGGCGCCCGGGACCTGGCCAGCTCCCCGCGGCGCCGCGGACTCCGGGATGGAGCGGCGGCCGGTGACACCGGGCGGCACCACCGGGGACGGACGGGCAGCGCCGCGGAGGCGCCGGGAGTGGAGGCGCAGGTGTACAGGCGAATGCGGGGCGCCTGGCACCGTCCCCGCCCCCCGTCGCCTGCAGGCTGCCGCGGGGGTGCGCGCAGAGGCGGCCAGGTCTCCCGGGGTCCCCGCAGCGGTGTGATGGGGTGTCAGCGGCGAGGGCACCTGGAGAGGGGCCGTCAGCACTCATCCGTCAGGGCAGGGCTCTGGCCCCTGACAGCTGCCTGCCTGAGCCAGGGCCTAGGGGCCAAGCCCCAGGACAGGGGTGCTGTGGGGAACAGAGCCAGCCTTGGGGGAGGAGGGTGCTGAGGCCCAGCCCAGGAGGGCACAGGCCCAGCCCAGGAGGGGACAGAGCCCAGACCTGGGAGGGCTGGAGCACGGAGCTGAGTGGCTTAGCCCAGTGAGGGGACAGTGGAACGAGATTCCTTTTCTGGCCAGCTCTGCCTCCAGTGCTGTGTCCTCTGCTCCAAACAGGAGGCTGAATGGATCTGCACCCCCAAACCCTTGCCCTCCCCATTGACTCATACATTTTCCCCCCCAATTCCTGAAAGCATTGCTACCTCCTCCAGTCCCAGCCCAGACTCCTCACTGCCCTGGCAGGTGCCCCAGGAGGATGGTACAGCCGGGCCCTCCACCTTCTGTCTGCAGCCTCTGCGCTGCTGGAGGGCCCGGGAGGGGGAGGGGGAGGCCAGGGAGAGGCTTGTGTATCTACAGACAGCCATGATCCCCGCTAATGTCCGCATGGCCGGAGTGCTCCCAGCCCCACCCAGGGTGTACCAGCTTCCACGGTATTTCCCAAGATATCAGATTTTTTAAGTCTGGGGTCCCACTACTTCTCAGCTGGGTCCTCAGGGAAGTTCACCGGCCAGCCAGTTCCATCTGGACATAGACACAGACATGCCAGGACAGAGCCAGGTCATGCTTCTCCCAGCAAATCTGCCTCATTCAGGAGGAAGTGCCTGAACCCGGAGGCGTGTGATGGTGCCGTTCAGGCTGCGAGTGGGATCTGCAGCCAGAAGGGTGAGTGTGCTCCAGGCTGGCTCCGTGGGGGCACAGAGGGCCCTGTGAGAGCTCACTTGGCTCTCCCACAGGTTTCCTGGAGTACCCCAGCTCAGCTAGGGGGACAGGAGTACGTAGGGAAAGGAAGGAGTACCCTCTAGGGGCCTCTGGGTGTCCCATCTCGAATGGGGCAAAGGACCGAAGAGAACTGGATCCAGAGGTTAGCATGTCTTGGCCCTGTGAGCCAGGCCTCCGTTTCCCAATTTGCGCAGGAGGGTGACAGGCCACGGCCCAGTTATTGGCACA